ACGTTCAGGAAGATGGAATGGCAATTGTGGGACCAAGTAAATCAACTGCAGAACTTGAGCCCCAACCGGTTACCTCCGCTGGCACTCTCTCTTTTCGCGAGGTCATTACCGTAAAAAAAGATGGTGCGAAGACCACTCAACGGCCGGCACCCAAGGACTTCATATTTATCGGGGAATATGAGCATTCGTACGGGACCATTACCCGCTCGGAGGGAAACAAAGTGCAGGCTCATTTCACTCAGACCGAATCTGAGATCCTCGCAGGTAAGCTAGCTAACACCCTGGTGTTTAAATTTTCTTATGCTATCCCTGCCCCCCGAGATATATCTGCTGGTTTAGGGAAATTGGGTTTTAAGGGTACTGTGACGCCTAAGTGGTATAATTTTAATCACCTCCTAGTCTCCTTCCATCTTCTTGAGGACTATAACGAGACGAGGCTTAAGACTTCGATTCTTGTGTGTGGATTCCCAGCTAGGGTGTTCAAATACACTTCGGGGTTTAACCCGAAGACGGAGACGCCGCTTGTCCCCGTCTGGTGTCGCCTTCCTGGCCTCCCACCCCACCTCTACGACCGGGCTGCCATCACTACGCTTGCTAAGTGTATAGGTCAGCCGGTTCGTATTGATGCCCCGACGGCCCTCCAGTCGAGGGCCAACGTGGCGCGATTCTGCGTTAGGATCGACCTCAAGGTCGAGCCCGTCCACGAGATAGAGATTGTGCAGGGGTCGGATACCCTTGTTCAGCGTGTGATATATGAGAAGATCCCCGCCTTCTGTAATGCGTGCAACCATGTTGGTCATATAGCGGCCAATTGCTATATCATTGGCAATAAGCCACGCCCCACTCCGCCTCAGCGCCGTCATACGGCCCACCCGGGACTCTCCAACAGACGGAGGGAACCGAAGGGAAAGGGCAAAGGCCCTATCCAGACACCCGGACCCCCAAAAGGGGCCACGGATAAGGGCAAGGCGAAGATGGATTACACTGCCAAAACTGGAAAGGATGCTCATCCTGACCAGTCTGATCAGTTCATCATAGTTGGGCCCAAGGCTAAGGCCACGGGCTTTCTTCCCAGAGATACTCTTCAGTCGGCCTTCAAGGCCAAACATTCATTCTTTGCTCCCCTATCTCCTGGATCTAAGGATGAGGCTGGGCCTTCATCTAGGGACCCACACTGTCTCTCCGATCTTGGCCTTTTAGATGGAGACGATCTTTTAGGAGATGATTTAGAGCAGCCGGATACTTCACCTAGTGGCCTGGCCATCCATTTATCTCAGGACAGCATTCGTAATGCTGTCCCTTTGCCCGTCCACTCTCATAGCTAGGACTGTTCTCAGGAGATGGGGACAGCTCCTGCCACCGCTTCCTCGAAAGAGGAATTGAGGACTCACCCCCCCTCTGCAGTGCTTGGGATCTCGACTGAGCATTTAGCTCTCCACCCACACTCTGATAGTGAGCACCCGAGTGCTCTACCGGATGGAGTCTCTTCCCCTCCCCTCCCGGAGCAGACATGCGATCTTAACCGCGCTCAGCATGACGTCTCGTGTGAGAGTTTCTCCTCGTGCACAATGGCAGACAGGAGGCATGCCCGGAGATGGGGCAGGCTCCTAATATCAGTCTTGGTCAGACTGCTCAGCCTGATGATTCGCAGGCCACGAGCGCTTTTCGAGGG